AGCTAGTCATCAACCCACCGCCAACTCTTGGGCTACTCTTTTACCAACGAATAGTGGGATTGACCGTCACTATATAACGCCCCCACGGCTGAAAGGGCGAGCATGTTTGATGGGACGGGGATTCGAACCCGCAGATTGCGAGTCGAGCACCCTAACCACCTGGCCATGCTCATAAATTTATTTACGCCAGGTGTAAAATAATCGGATCAAATAAAGGTAATACTGAAAAATTTGGTAGTTGTCGCTATAAAACTGAATTCCAAATCAAATACTCACCATAGTGCTGTTTTTTAAAGCTAATGAATGACTTTAGTACATAAGATAAAAGATTTAAAACACATTACCAAAAAAGATAAAGGTCAAAAATATAGTGACTGAAGCAGTTTGAATATTTTGTTATTTTGTTCCCAATAGCTTGCCAATAATTAGCATTTTCATTATTCACAGTTACCCTTTTTGTGGTTTCTACATACGTAGGCTAATTCCACATTGGTGCAGGTATGTAACCTTAATTGTGTATTAAAAGCAGTCTTGTTTGTTTCGGATATTCGTGAAAAGCTATGTAAGAACTATGTGCGCTATAAATGTCCCTAATTTTGAACTGATAGACTAGAAACAAGTTAGTCAAGAGCATCCACAGCCAACACTTGGACTACTCCCATCAAATTGTGGGACTTGACCGTTACACTTATAACGCACCTACGGCTCCAAAGTGTGGAGTGCGATTTTTATTTTTTTCAGTAACGAGAAACAAACTATCGGATTCCAGTTCGACACACCAACAACTAAACCATGCCGCCTGGCCCACTGGAAGTAGTCTAGGACTTTTCAATGTTTTTTTTTTTTTACGATTTGATAAGCATACAATATCAATACATATCAAGTAATGTTTTGTAAGCACAGCTGGTTGAAAGCAATGTAAACGAACGCTTGCGGCGTTGTTTTTTTTGTTTTTTTAAGGCTTGTGAATATTTTAACACGTAATTGTATTTGTTTTGTTAAACTGATACTAACTGGGCGGAGAGTAATTGCCCTAGAAATTTCTCATCGGTCGATTGTAAATCGCTAAATGATGTATGGAACAAAAATGACGTCATCGTCTATGACGGACTCGTTGTGATCAGCATAGGAACAATGGCTCTTCTTCTTCTTCTAGATAATTGAAATCATCGAATATAAGAGAGTGAAATTTTCCCGTTCCAATGAAGGATGTAAATGAAAGAACGATATTGTTTCTGAAGTTATTTCTTACAGCGGAAAGCAGCTTTATAAAACGTGGAATCTACAGTTAGTCAGGAAAGACTGAGTTAATCTGAACTTGACTTCAATTGAAAACTATATCACTCCCAAAACTCGTTTAGTGATATCTGTATTACTCAATATAAAACGATATTACTCCCAAAAAAATTAATTACAGTGCTCTAATTGACGATTTTTAAAAGAAGAGATATCGTAAAGAAAACGTATGAATAGTGATACCGGTGTGTAACTGGATAGACCGGTTGTTTTGATAGAGTTTTGTAAAAAGAAAGGTCGTAAAGACAACAAATGAATAGTGATGCCGGTGTGTAACTGGATAGACCGGTTGTTTTGATAGAGTTTTGTAAAAAGAAAGACCGTAAAGACAACGAATGAATAGTGATCCCGGTGTGTAACTGGATAGACTGGTTGTTTTTGAATAATGAAAGATCGTAAATACAAAAAATAAATAGTGATCCCGGTGTGTTACTGGATAGACCGGTTGTTCTGATAAAGTTTTGTAAAAACAACAAATGAATAGTGATCCCGGTGTGTTACTGGATAGACCGGGTGTTTGATAAAGTTTTGTAAAAAAAAAGACCGTAAAGACAACAAATGAATAGTGATCCCGGTGTGTTACTGGATAGACCGGTTGTTTTGAATAATGAAAGAGCGTAAAGAGAACGAATGAACAGTGATCCCGGTGTGTAACTGGATAGACTGGTTGTTTTGACAGAGTTTTGAATAATGAAAAATCGTAAATACAAAAAAATAAATAGTGATCCAGGTGTGTAACTGGTTAGATGTTTAGATTCCTACATGTATGGAATAAAAAACTGAAGGCATACATTCTGTGATCACGATAATTTGAAATTTGTGAGGAAAGGATGTGATAACTCATTTCAGCCGCTAAAATAGATTGAAAACAGATAAATATATAATTATTTTAACACTATAGGATGTCTTGTGTAGGAAAACTTCAGTTCAAGAAAAATAATTTACAGCCGTCTGAGTATCTATATATATATACATATGGAGAGAGAGAGAGAGACTGTGAAACCGAAGATTCAGAACTTGCGACTCGTTGTCCGCATTTTGGGGCCGGACATACGTGATAAGAGTAACGGCTAAATCGTACTATTCGATCAGACAAGAGTAATCCAAGAGTCGCCGGTAGGTGCTGTTGATTAGATGCCTTTCCTCTAGTCTATCAGTTCAAAATTTAGAATGGGTAAGGTAGTGCTACTGGTCTGACTTAGATTAAAAACCTAAGATTATTAGTAAATATTTCCGGTAGGACAGCGATAGAAATAAGTTGACGGACGTACAGGCATACAACGCTAAAATCCGGGGTTTGATTCCCGGCGGTGGACACGGCACACAGCCCAAAGTTGCGTTGCTCTAAAAACAAGCAAACAAGGTAAATATTTTATAAATATAATTAACAAATAATTTTGAGAATTTGTTGAAGATAAGACGTGTTAAATTCTGAAAGGAAGGTATAAAATTTAACTCATCAAATCAAATTTCTTCCAAGTGTATAAATAATATACCATTGGGAAGACACTCGATAAAATGTA